GTCTGCAGAATGCATATACTCGGATGCATTAATAGCAATCTCGTTGCATTCATATCCAGCTGACTTAATGGGACGTACGAAGAGAGAAAGAGAGAGAGAGAGGAGAGGAGGATGCATAAAGCGCGAGACGTAAAGGGTAAAGGTGCGAGAAGGAGAGAGAGCCGAGGAAGGAGAGACGGCGGAGGAGACAGGGACAGAGAGAGAATTCAATTCCACGGTCGATTATGCAGCCAGTCTGCCGGATTACTGCCGGTACGCGTTTCCGTTTTGCGCCGATGAAGGGATTACCTTGCGTGTACATACATATATACCACGTCCGTGCACGTCGCACGTGCGTGCGTAGACGACGCGTGTGTAAGCGTGTACATATATATTTTACATAACGCGGACTGTTTTCCCCTCACCCGACTGACACTGTACAAAATGCAAGACCAAATAATTACGTCGAGATGTGATAAAGACACGTTTTACATATTATGACGGAAAAAAGTCGTTCGAAACAATATAACGCTCTTTACACGTCTTCGCTTCTGGAAAGCTCGAGAAAATATATTAATTAAAGGAAATACATGTAGAACATATAGAATTTTAATAAAACCCCGTGAGAAAAAATAACAAAAATAATTTGTGAAAAAAAACAAAAATTTCGAAATATCAAGTCGGCAGACGTAAAGTTTTAAAGAGCATTTCCGTCGCGCGGGAATGGTGACCGCGTTCCGGTCGATGCAATATTTTTAGTCCGTGGCGAAACCGCGCGGGACATACATTCTCGCCGGGAACGTTTATTAACGCTTTTTCTACTTGTTAATTTCAAGTGGCGAAATTGGAGCGCTCCATTTGCACTGAATCAACGTCAGCGCCGCTGTACCGGCGATCTTTTGTCGCCGAAATCAACGGCGTTCGATGCGATAACTCTCGCGACACTCGCCGGGACAAACGAAACAACATCAGCGAAGTATTCCGAGAGTCAATTCGTTCGCGTTCTTTCATTTCGAGGTTTCGAAATTTTCGCATACACATATCTTTCTCCGCGAATTTTCGTAGAGGTGCGGAACGCGCGACAATCAGTCGCTACCGCAATTTACGACGTGCGATAAACCTTCGCCGCGATCGTCCCTTATTACAAGCTCCCACTTCTGGGTGAGAAAAAAGGAAGAATAGCCGAGAAATGAACATCACGCGTTTTTTGTTTCACTTTAAAAAAAAATCAAATCGGCAACATAAAAAGCGAGCTTGTACAATCTTTTCAAGTAAAGTCAAAAAAATACAAAGTCTTTTTCAATAAAAAGCGACTTACTGTCATTTAGATCGAGAGCAGAAGCGCAATTTCGACTCGAGATAGTAATGGAAATTCCTGAAATGTTTTTCCCGACAATCTGCAGATATATATACACGTACGCGAACTATTGCGAAACCACAGACACACACGCACACACCAGCGTTACTTTTTTTCCTTTTTTCCCGCCTTGCGCAGCGATAACCGCAGGAGTTATCATTGTTCAACTTGCTCGCGCTAAAAAAAAATACTTATTTTTCCGTGGAAGGTTGTGAGATTCCATCGGTTTTGTGTGAGCATGCAGTTGCACACACACACTTTCTCCGCTTTTTTTCTATTTCTTACCATCTTGCTCGTCTGATAATCGAAACGTCTCCGCGTGTGCAATTTAAACGGCAATTAGTAACGCATTTCAATATATTCCGATTATTACGCGGATGCTCTGTGATATTAATTACATAATTAAATTAAATTTATACCACGTACGTAGCGAGATATATCAGAGGCACATGATTCATGTAATACAGTCTGCAGTTAATTAATGCCCGTGTTAGCGACGCTTCCGAGCGCAAGTATCTCCGTGTGTTTAAGTGATAAGTAATATCACACATTTCTCTTTTCCGTGTATATATGTATCTCGATTTTTAATTAACTGGCCACAGGCATGTGCGTGTGAGCTTTTATTAGGATTACGCGCGGCAAAAAGAACTTGTTTCCGTTTTGCAATGATAAAAAAAAGAATGTCCATGTAATTTACTAATTAGAATCCTGAATGCAATGAAAGTTTTATTCTTACATATTTAATACCTAAGTGTAATATATTTTATGAAATATTATTCACATCATGTGCGTGTGATATCTGATTTGATACGCAATATATCTGGCACAAAAAAATTCAAAATTTTCTCGACATCGCGCAAATTCGTTTCTTTTTTGACAATATATTTCAGCAATTTTTTTCTTCCTCCCTCTCTCTCTCTCTCTCTCTTTCTCGAATAAAGCGATACCCAGTACATTTAATCGGCCGGGTTAATCCCTTCCTGCGAATTAACTCGGAGCAATCGTATCGCAAACGAGAGACGTAAAGAGCCCTTTCTGCGCGAGAGTTTCGGCGAAGTAAGGCGAGATGCTCGCCTATCGTTAACCCTTAAGAGAGCCGCGGGATTTCGCGTTCGAACATTACGATACGCCCGTGAGGGATGTTACTCCAGGTCCTCTCTCGCGCGCAAGCAAGAAAAACGAGGAAGAGACAAAAAATTAAATCCACGACGGTAAATGGAATTCGAACCGTCGAAACGACGCGTTTTATCGCGTTTTCCCCGAAATTTATCGCTGCGAAATGGCTCCGGCGGATATCTCTGTATGTATATATCGATTGCACCGCGCGGCTAGAAAATCGCCAATTGTTATTATCGGCTGTTCGCGCATCACGCACAGTCAAGCTTTACATTCACACTTTTGACAAAAATTCGCGCGTTTTTTTTCTATTGCGACCTTGTGATGTTTCGAAAGTAGCTTGTTGATACGAACAGACACACTCGACCTTATATCTAAATTTTAAGCAGCTTACGCAGTTTGCTGATTTCTCTTGCTGACGTTTGCAATACAAAAAATCAAAAGGTAAAAAAGTTTACCGTATTTGAAAATGTTATGAATAATTTTATCGAGAAAATGAATAACGCAGCAAAATTGAAAATTGTAGCTCTTTTACGAAAGCATAAACGCCAGAAATTATTAACGATTGAGAGAAATAATATATGTGCGGTTCGATTAAATTTTTAATCGTTGCTTTCAATGATATATATACAACCTCTTCCGCACTTTAATTATATAATTACCGCCTAATGGCGCGGTAACCTCTTTCAACCACTCCGCTACGTCTAATCATTGTAAATATTCCGGTATCAAACGAACGACACTTTTAGCGTAATTAGCAGAAAGTTGCGCCGGCAAATATTAGTCTTCTCCATGGCCACATAAACTTAAGAAAAATTCATTGCAGCGAATGGCGAAAACTTGTTCGCAACGAAGCTCCTTATCTCTCTAACGAAGTACTTCTGGAGAAAACTTAGCCTGCTCGCGCGCGCGGTATTTGAATTTAGTTCTTTCCGAGAAATGCGGAAATTAAAATTAATAGAAACTGTCCTCTATTGGCGACCGGGTGGCGCGTTCGAAAAATTTCTGACGTCGCTTCTACTTAATAAGACGCAACAAACGTCCAAATTCAAAAGACTGCTCTTCGTTCGAATTTAAATATTTCGAGATTCTTAATTAATGCGAGACGTCTGTTTATGTTCTTGCTTAAAATCTCGAATAAAAATGCGCTCACTTTAAATGTACGAGTTACGGAATAACATGTCTTTTGTTCTTTCTTCGAAAGAACAAAGGTCTCCCTCATCTCGTGTACATGTACCCAAACAGTAGCAACAATTTTAATTACTCTGTAGCGAAAACACCCGCAACGCGGTCGGCGAGTATAACGAATCTCACCAAGTTGTTCGTACAAGACACAAGGGAAAGAGAGAGAGAGGAAAGTTGCCCGAGCAGATAAAAGTGGCCCTGTTAATAGTGCGAGACAATGTAACGCGGGAGGATAATACCAATTAGGTGGCAGGACTAGCCAGTCGGCGCGGTGCCCGCTAGGATAAGGTTATTTATTTGACGGCTTAATTTATTCCGGATAAAAAGAGCTCAGCCGGCGAGCTACTCTCTCCTTTCCCCCCCAACCGGATGTACGGCCTTAAATTAAACCATCCTCCCCTCCTCAATACGTCCTCCCGTCCCTGATGCAAGAAACATTGCACCCGCTATCTTGCTGCGTTTCACGAAGCGCGCCGCTTTAAGCCAACGCTCATGATGTACAATCTGCCCTGCCTCGACTGTCGAAGATAGATTAATTTGAGTACCCCGCGAATCCTCCGGGGCGCATTTGCGACTTCCGCAAATAGAAAGAAAATAATAAACGGCTGCGTGGATCAGTGAGACTTTCAATATTCCCCTGCAATGCGTTTTCACACACAGAAAGGAAGGAATACTCTTTTATTCCGAAATAGACGTTTGTTAAAGTCAACTTATTTGCCGATTACTCACATATCAGTAGAAGTAAATAATGCGCGACACATGTACAAGAGCGTTTACGCTGTCATTAATATTCACTAACCGTTACGTTTTTTTTTCTGTTGCGCTACGTGACGTATAATTAAACCAAATTGGATACATGCTATATAGTTTTCCAATAATAGCGGCCAATAATGCAACATGCAAGGAAGATTATCTCCGCAATACCTTGTACGCATAATCTGCGCGCATTTATACATCGCGGAAATGAACGTACTAATGACATCATCTCACCAAACCAATCATTAGCGCAGCATAGTTGAATCGCTACAGCGGAGTTTGTGTATATCGTTTCAGGCAATAATAATATTTCGAGCAAGGAGAGACACTACTGTCGCTTTCCTATCTCTCTTTTTCTATTCGTTTTTTTCTTTTTTTTTGTCTTAATACCGATAACGACGTTAGAGACGTCCAAGTGCTGCCTGCGATGTGGAGAAAAGCGGGCGCGCCGCGACAAAACAGTCCGAAGAAGAGAAAGAAAGAGACGGACGGTGTATTGCGGGATCACAGTGGTGGAGGAGAACACAAGTCACAAGAGGGGGAATGACTTGCATCACACGCGACGAGACACATGTATGCGGCTGTGGCGTGATAGCGTCGCGAAACTCGCGGAGCAGGCAACGCGCAAACAGTTCGCGTCCACCCCGTTCGCTTCTGAAGTGTCTCACTCGTTTGTCTACATCTCGCGTGTTCTCCGCTCTTTTTCCTTCCACTAGATTTTTTCACGATCTGCCCCCGGTGTGCCAATGTCGTATGTGTGTATGTGTAAGGGAAGGTAGATGTGTCCAAGTTTCGCGAGTGTGCGTAAAAACGGGGTCCACGTGGACATGTATCGTCGGCGCGAAAGCTCGTTCTTGTGAAGTTTTCACTCGGGCGGAAAAGCGTTTTCTGCGTCGGTTTTCGTCGCCGACGATGAAAACCGATCGTGAATCGCGTCACCGACGAACGCTGTCGATAAGCCCTGGCGGTGGCCTTGCTTGTGTATCGCGCCGTTAATGAATCCGAAGGGTCGCCGGGAATGTTCCGATGAATGTACGGTCAATTAATCCCTGCAACGACATGTGATGGCCTCCGCATTAGTGCCGCGTCGCGTCGTCGTAATACGCTTCCGAATTCGGTGGTATTTAGTTGCAAATTGATCCGCACTGATCCCGCGCGTGCCAGGTGGTCTCTCGCGCCAGATCGGTCCGGAAATCGTGGTGTTTTTCCAAACGCCGTTCTGTAATCCGTGTTGTTTTTAATGCAGCGTGTGTACGAAACGCGCCCGATATTCTGTATGTGTGTGACCGACTGAAATGTCAGCGCAGATACACGGCCGACGTCACCTGTTGCTGGCAATTAACGAATGCGTCGCGCTCTGATGTCGGCTTTATGAAAAGCAAGCTCGCGGATTCCTTCCTTCAGGCGCAAGTGCTACGGCGATACGAATTCAGCCCATTGATACGTCCCGACTTTCGCTTTGTAACTTTCGTTACATACTGGTGAGTCTAGCTCGTTTTGACAGCGCTTGAACAAATTACAATCGACTGCAAGTGGGTAAATGTTCCATTTAGTAAACATTTATTAAAGAAATAATCATTTTAGATATTTGAACACAACGAATTTTTCAAGTATTTTTTAAAACGCGTTTTTCAATATTCTTAACTTTATATAAATAATTTGTTGTTATTATTTCTTAATAAATGTTACAGAGAAAAAGAGATAGGAAGACTCGTCGAACCTTCTTTCTGCATTTTACAAAGTACTATTAAGTCAATTATAATAAATCGGTATATCGGTTTTTGTAAAAATAGTGTTTGAATGTTATCTAATCAGTTTACGCAAGTCTTCGCGCCTCGCGTCACTACGGCTCGTTATCACAAAAAACCACTTTGTTCTCGTTACGTAAATACATCGTCACGTTTTGCCTGTGAAACGTTCACAAAAATATGCTTATCGCAAAAATATTAATATTATTTATAATATCGAGCTACAACACACGCGCAAATTTACGCAGCTTGGTATTATGAACTTTTTTTTTACTCTTTTAAAATGTAAATTTTTGTTTAACATTATGCAAGAATACATGTTTGCCTTGTTCGAGCAGCACTTTAGGGTTTCCAAGATTTAGTTGTTGTCATAAAGCTGCCAATAGCAGCTCGACATACCATAACGGTGTGTGCGGATCAATAAATTTTGGTCTTATTGGTATCGCTTGTTTGATGTGTTTGTTACGTTCCTATTCTGCGCCGACCGCCGTCGCTACAAATCCCTTGACGGGTACTATTGCTTCCCTAAAAGCATGGCGGTTATATGAGCAATCTATGGCTGTCTCTCTTCTTTCTCTCTCTCTCCCTCTCACTTCCTTCCTTCGCATCCCTCTCCTCGTCTCATATTCGCTTTCCCTCCTCGTTTCCATCGAAGCCGGCACGATCGATAACTTTGACCGGCGTCTCGAAGTGACGGGTTTGAAATTGATTCGCGCTGGCAACCAAGCCGATAGAAGTTCCAAGGAAATGCAAATATGCCCTTGAACTCCGCGTCAATGCAGCTGAGACTTTAGACCACGTAAGCCTCGCTCGAACATCGGACTGGGCTTATAGTCCGCGGCTCTACACGTTTCTGGGTCAAATAGGCGCCGTTTTTTCCGCCGTTTATTACTTCTCTTGCCTACTAATCTCAATATTGACGCTGAATCGGTTGAAACTTCTCCCCTTCTAAGGTTGCAGCTGACAATGCCCGAGCTCGTCTCTTACGGACGAGTGAAAAAGTTAAGTGTGCGATGAAAGTTTGAAGACGTCGGAAGTGCGCTCGACGTTGAATAGCTTCGAGTCGGTTTATTTGCGTACAAGAGAGAGTTGGGCTCCGAATCGCCACAGTTACCGGAGATGATCAATGCGCGCGTCGCTGACGGCCACAAAGCACACCCTGGGTGTTATTACCCCCATCGTGCGCTAGATGTCACGTTACAACGACACTGTGACCGCGCTCTATCTTTTTCGACGACGGCTATGGAAATTGGCTGACGATGACGATCGTGGAATATCGCGCCGGGATAGATACTAGATACGGCAGAGCGCGTCAGTAAGCCGGATCGATCGACGTTCATAGCCCGAATACACGTCGTTTCTCGTTATTAGTTGTGACAGGCGATCTCGATGCCGGCCGAGTTTGCACATAATTCCGCATCATACGTCGCAGGTCGGATTTATCGGATGTAACGGACCTTCCATCAGCGACGCCGAACATGCCAAAAGTGCGGGAGAGAGTTCGCGGGAAAAAGAGGTCTCTCGTCACGTTTACTGTCCACCTAAAACCGAGTAGCAGTAAACCGAACGATAGCCCAGGTGCGACGCGCGTTTTATTCGTCCTGGAGTAACTTTCTTTGTAGCTGGCAAATGTAAATGGAAGTAAATGGTAAGAGCGTCTCTTGAGCGCGTTAATAAGAAATGACCACATCGACTTCAAGTTCTTTGTGTTCGAAAATTATGCGACAACTATGACGCGATGAGTAAATTGCATATTTAAATTGGAAGCAAGAGAAAGAGAGAATTAGTTTTATATGTTAATTAATAATTATATATTTATTAATTTAATAATATTAGTATGTAAATATGTAAATATTTTATAATTATTTGATAACATATGTTTATTAATTTTCTCTATAGTTGAATCTGTTAATTAATTTCAACTTTAATTTGGTCGACCTCTTTTTTTTTAATCCAGTAACTTGCTTTCTAGTTCAGGTTGGTTTAGATTCGTTCTCATAGTGACGCGTACGAAACGATGCGTTTTCATCGCCGGAAAGACACGTCGGAACACCTCGTTCCTACTAACTACTGAGTCTTAGGACGAATACACACTATAAATCTAAAGTAACTATAAAGCCTCACGCGCTCCGCCACTGAGGGCGAGTTAAGTGAAGCCGTAAACCCATGAGCCCATGAATCCGTAATCCCATGGTCAGAGTTTATGGTTAGCTCCCACCATATTTACGGCTACCTCTTAAGTGTATTTGTGCAGATTAGAGGCGCATAGTTGCCTTCATAAAGTACGTGCGATTAACTACGCTTGAGGGACTGATTTGCCCTAAAGCCTGACATCTGGCAGAAAACACCTGTAAAGTTCAACTTCGATTCGTGCGTGATCACAACGCGAACATCAAACGCGCCTTAATATTATCGACAAGCTAACTACCAGATGGCTATTTTCATCAGTTCATTTTTTTGACATATTGACAATCACAATTTTATCTAAAACATTCCCTATGGGGATAATAAATCCAAAATGGACATTTTGTACATTTCGCGCGGACTCTTGTTAAAACCACGTATTTGTCTTGTTGGATGAAGCATTCGAATTAGAAGTTAATTTCCTTTTGCTCCTGTACGTTGTTACGTGCTGTCTCAATTTGCTCTCGGTATGTACAAATGTAGTAGCGGCGCACCGTACGTATCTCCGAGCTTGATTTCGCAAATCTCGTTGTTCTCGAGATCAGTTGCATACACGTTTAATAATTATGGCGCTTGGCACTGGCCGCTTATATTTCCCTCTTCTCTCCTTCCCGCCCGTGCTGGAAGTTTAAAGCAACGACCGACCGATAACGTTCCCTCGGAACTACGTAATCTTATTTGAAGCTACCGGGCGCTCTAATTACCGCGGTTGCTACCTATGCCACGAAAATATGATTCACCGGCCATCTCGTGTTTCCATCTCCGCCTGTGCGCGCGTCCGTCTAACTATTATACCTTAATTATTTTTATCTAATTATTCCAAACATCTCTTCCTCTACAAACACTTCTAGTTCCACACATATATTCTTGTTACACACTACGCAGCTGTTACCACGAAAAAAATATGTAAATTACAAATTTATTTACATAAATAATAAACACACAGAGTCAACAACATCTGTGTACATAAATAAACGCAAGCGAGTACATATCGATTTAATTTACAGAAAGTTAAAAGATCAATGCAAATCAACACAATAAAATGTCAATGTACGTAAAATATTATTTTTATTCAAATCACACGTGTCGACTCCAGTGTTTGAATCTTCATCAATGAACTGAATAAAGAAAGAGAAGAAGCAATGTTTTACACACATTGTACATTGGCTCTTCATTGACCTCTTTCAACTTCTTGGTTTTAAACTTTCACGAGCTTACTCGTTCATTGATTTAATTTAATTTAATTTTAACATATTCTTTGTACAAACAAGTCCAAAGCCCCTGTGTTCGAAGCTTAAAACTTAACTGGTCACAATGTGTCACACGAACGGTAACGCCGCGTTATTTATTCGAGAGAGCAAGCATAGTACAATTATCGCAGTAATGTAATGCGTTCGGGTAATGGTTCGCGCGATTTAATGGAATTACTATTATAACTTGGGTAAGCTAGGTCCGTTACCATCAAGGAACGGGAGCGAAATAGCGGCCTCGAATAATTCGCGGGTACGCGCTCAGCCGCGTGATATTGCTGCATTTCGACGATGCGACGTTCGCGTAGCATAGTATGTACGATGGTATATATATGTATATATACATATGTGTGTGTGTATATATGTATATATATATATATATATGTGTGTGTGTGTGTGTGTGTGTGTATGCGAGTCCGTAAATAACTCCGTTTCGAATAATGCGAGAGATCATGTTGCTTCGAAGGTTTTCCTCTGGAACGCGGTAGGTTCACGCACGCGACGAGTGTGTGTTGTATGAAAGTTATCGCAGCGAGACGAACGAAAACGCCTACTTCACACTTGGCCGCGATCCAAATTTCTTCGCGCGTGTGTCTCAATTATTTTCAACCGCTGTTACTAAATCCATTTTGACAACGCGGATAACGTATGAACCTGTGTTAACAGCTTAGTGCGCGAATCAATAATAAGAACTTCGTCGCGTCTTCTCTACTGTGACTAAAATAATCCGCCACTAATATTCGTATGCAAAATAAGATTTTCGATACACGAGACGCAAATTAAACATCCGAGATGGATATAATTTTTGAATTACGTGTATTAACTTGTACGTCAAAAAAATATTTTCCACGTACAGGATTTATGCAATTCACAAATATAACAAAGGGTTGAGGAGAAAATATGATTATTTTACGTAAAACAAGTGTGACGTTTGTGCGATTTTTTACAAACACTGACAAACGAGATTTAGTATTTTCTAGCAAACGAGAGAGCGTGCGATTTTCAAAGTAGATATTGAGTTTCACTGAATAATAACACACGATGTTTTCCAGTTGCTTGTCCCTGTAAACTTCGTTCCAAGCAGATTAGCACGTTAAGCCCAAAAGCCCCTCGCTCTCCAATTAATCATTACGCGGTTCTCTCAATATATTATAATAAGTCGGAGCGCATCTCTTAAGTTCCAGAGTCGAGACAACGTCTTTTGAGATTCGTAATTATTTGAACGCAATGTGGAAAATTAATATTTCCGCTCGTCAAATCCTGACGTTCGGTCGCCCAATCGTCCAACAAACGCGCGCA